GAGGAGGAGGGGGAGGGAGAGAGAGAGAAGGAGGAGGAGGAGGAGGAGGAGGAGGCGGCGCCGGCGACGGTGGAGAGAGGTGGAGGTGGCGGCGGAAACGGGGATGGGGAAGAGAGGAGAGAAATGAATTGGATTATGTTAGGGTTTGATAGATTCAGGTTTTATATAAATTTGGTGGGAGTAAGTAGTAGGGTGGGTACAAATGTTAATTTAATTTTATAATATTATTATTAATATTTAATTAAATATAAAAATATGTATCTATCTATAAAAAATCTAATTTTTGAACATTAAAACTAAAAATGTTATTTTTGAACTTGGATCTTGAAAAGGAGGCCTCTATGTAATTTCCACATAGTTAAACATAACCCACTAGGGATGGGCTTGGGCCAACCCAGTAATACAAGCCCATAATAAAAAGACACAAATAATGGAAAATTTCATAATATAAAAATGATCTCCGCATCAACTCTTTCGGATTAGAGAAAACTCGACCCTATCGAGTGGATAAACTTTTACAATTTGATGCAGGACAAAGGAGGCGGCAGCAAGAACGGGGGGAGAAACCAAAGAGAATGGGGAAGAAGCGGGAGAAGACACAGAAGTTCAGGAGTAAAAGGGTAGGAAGAAAACGATTGCTCCAAGCAATGCCATTTTATTTCATCATATTCATCAATTGTTCCAACTATTATATTAAAATCAATAAATAGTAAAAACATAACTTACCAGTGACGTGGTTTGGGCCAACTAACTACTACAAGCCCATTAATAATAAAAAACGTAATTAATAAAAATCAACAATAACATAAATTGTGATATCCATATCAACTCTCTCAGGATGGGAGAAAATTCGACTGTGTTGAGTGGATAAACTTCTACCACGAGGGATGGTCTTTCGTAAGAACCAAATATCGAAACTCTATGTTTGATGGTAACTAAAACTGCAGCTTATTCCCAAGAATATGATTCGGCCAAGGGGGACGATCTCTCCATCTAATCAAGTACCGATATTGGATTTCAAATAACAAACACTTATGCAATTATCTTTAACACTTTCATTTGGTTGTGCATAATGAGGAGCATAAGAAGCTAGCATCGTGACTGGCCTGTAGAGAAAAATGATTGCAAGTTCGAAGGTTCGAATGGGCCCCAATTAGTAAACAATTCTTCTGTATTGAAAATATAACTTTCATTTAAGTGAGATGACAAATCAAATAAAAAATCTTTATGTGGATGATCCAAAAACTTTTTCTTCACGTTTTTAGGAAAACGGATTAGAGAAACGTGCAATAAAGTATAGTAATTTTCAATAGGGTATTCTAATATATATTGCACCTCGAAAGTAAGTTCAAAAATTTCACGATTGAAAATGATTTAACCTCTTAATTTGGCATTAAATTTAAGAACATTGTCAACAAGATGATTAGCTAACAAAGCATGTCGATAATTAATGGATAACATCCGAATGTCGACAAGAAGAGCATACAATCGAGTAATGGTCTTAGAAAATAATGTCGCAACCCGTGGAATCTCATGTAATTGATGGAAAACTAAAAAAAATTCAACAGGAAAGTCATGTAACCAAGTAGGCATGAGATCTATGGTATCTAAAATGGCTGACTTTGATGTATTGCTTTAGGTAACTTTTCAATTATGTCAATGTTACGTGTATCGGTTATAGATGCGGTCACGATAGGGGACACAATACACTGTTCACAACTCTCGATTTCTGTGAAAGTGGAGGAAATAACTGTACTATAATCATTTAAACAAACCTCAAAAGATTTTATAGCTCGTGACAAGTAATGTTTGATCGTGTTAGCATACTTCTAAAAAAGTCTTTCCACCACACTAAATTTAATAAGAGAACCCTCCATGTGTTTATTTTGAACACTATCCAAAAGAAGGGTAATCAAATCTAGAGGAATATTGTCACTTTCTTCCAATGTAAATGAATTGATAGTCTCTATGGATGTGAAGACATTCCCTAAATGATTTTCGTTTAAAGCTACAAGAAAGTGTTGGAACATGTCAATTATCATACGTTCACAATCTAAGTCCAACATGATAAGGCAATACTTCGATTAGCCATAGTATCTAGTATTCTAACTGCCGTAGGATACAAATTGATGGATGTACTTGTGAGAAATTCAAATGATGATATAATCGAAGGAAAAATGTCTTGCATTATTTCATCACAGAAAAGGGGATCGGGTGCTGTGATGCTGAATATTTCACCAAGACAAGAAACAACTGCTACTTGTATAGCAAAATCGAGATGTCTTAATAATTTATCTAAGACCAATGCTGTGATAAGTTTATTAATAGATGTGAGCATGTAAACAACATGCAATTGGTCCACTTGGTAAAGCAGATACTCAGTTTATTCAAGTAATGATAGGAGCTCATTAAAAGACAATGAAGATTGAAGAAGTTTCATTCCATTTGTTAACAAATTGACTCTTAATGTTTGGTATTCATGCCATAACATTTTTTTTAATTCTTAAAATTGACAAGCCAAAACACTAAAATAAAAGTACATGTTCAATATAATAAAATTGTTACCTCATGATACTCAAAAGAGTCCAACAATGCCCCAATCATGATTTTCCATTTGACACTGCTACTATGGCAATGTGGCAACTGAAACATTTGAGCGGTCGTCAAACAACAAGAATAAAAATTCTTGCAATTAACGTTAAAAAATTCTTGCAATTAATGTTAAAAAATTCTCGGTCTTTTTTTCACACTATTTCCCCCCCTTTTCCCCACTTTTTTTTCCAACTAAAACAAATTACACTAATAATAAAAAAGGAGGCCCAAACTAGGGCCCAATACCAAATCAAAATACGCCAAATAAAAATGGAGGCCCAATACCAAATCAAGTACACTAAATAAAGATGGAGGAGTAAAAACTTTGATTGGTCACTAAACTTACCACTTCAATATGTTCTGGTAACCGAACTTCAAGTTCACTCCCACCGGTCACTGAACTTACAATCCAACCCCTCCATCCATCACCCACCATCCCCGCCGTTTCCATCCGTCCGACGTGGCTTCACCGTCGCCGACATGGCAGTCGACGGCGTTAACTTCGCTCACGTAGGACGCGATTTCTGGCTGTAAAAATGCCATTCTCCCCAATTAATCCTTCCTTCAACACCCTCCCCCGAATTGAACCACGCCCTAGACCGATTGCCCGCTCAGCTCCCGCTCCCAAATCGATTCCCCAAGGCGACGCAGTTCCCACCTGAGCCCTAAATCGCTCAACCGGGAACGAACTTCAATTAAGCCACTTCACAATATCGTTTTCCA